GGGCAACCCCTTCCAATGCCTCAGAACCCTTTCAGCAAAGAAATTCTTCCTCACATCCAATCTCAACTGCCCTGGGTGCAACTTGAGGCCATTTCCTCTTGTCCTGTCCCTTGTTCCTTGGTTGAACAGACCCACCCCCACCTCTCTCCACCCTCCTTTCAGGGACTTGGACAGAGCCAGAAGGTCTCCCCTCAGCCTCCTTTTCTCCAGGCTCAACAACCCCATTTCCCTCAGCCGGGAACTCATCACACGTGTGCTCCAGACCCTTCCCCAGCTCCGTTAAGGGTACACATCTATTTAGTAGTGGTAGGAACACTGGCGCTAACGTAACTTGCCTCTCATTGTCTCCTTTCATCTAAAAATCCCAAAGCACTCTTTAAGAAATGCTCAGTGGATGAAATTTGCTGGCATTGTTGTTAATAGCCACAGCAGGCAGGAAGAAGCATCGCACAGGTTAAGGGTTGCTGTGTTTGCTGCAGCAGTGCAGGTACCTGTGCCTGCCTCACCAAGGACTTGCCTTTTGCACTGCCGTGAATTGAGGAAAAGGGAAGCATGGGCTGCTCACCTGGCAGCAAGAGAGGGCAGGTAAAGTCAGCTGGGCCACTTATGGGGCCATGGTTGCTTATTGGGGCATTTGCCCAGTGTTTGTTGCTTGCAGAGGTTAATCTTTTGGGATAAAAACCCTTAGAAGATGTTCTTACAATGGGGAGTTCAGCTCTGGTGCTGCTTTTTCTTAGGCACGTTTTTTTGTTAAAGTCTATAATACTTGGTGTGACTTAGATGGACAAGAGTATCCAGGATTGTTGCAATAACCAATTTGTTTTCCTTCTAAAATGTTAACTTCAGCCCTAAAGTTAAACCAATCTTGTAGTTTCTAAAAAGAAAAATGAGATCTGGGTTGTAGGTTGTGCAATAACTTTTTTTGTTCGTTTTTCTATTTCTTTTTTTCTTTTGAGGCATTCCTTGCTCTGATCAGTCATGATAGTTCCTGTATTTCTATATTGATTATCTTGTCTAAATTAAATACAGGTATTAACTAACAGCATTCCTGTGAGGCAAATCATTAAATCAGATACAAAAGCTAATCTGTGTTTCCCAGGGTCAGGCAGTGAGTCATTTTGTGGAGCTGGGACTGGACCGTGGGTGTTCCTGTCGTCCAGCACCATGTTCCTCTCTCTGAGCCAGGCATCCTTCCCACACTGAAGGGAGCAGCCAGGCGAGTGCAGCTTCGCTAAAGACAGTTGGAAATGATGGGTTAGCCAAGACTGAAGAGTAAAGACTTTTCCAAGGATGTTGTAATACAGCTTTGGAGGCTCCCACAGTTAAGGCTCTGGCAAATGCTGTTTGCACAGCAACAGGTCAGCAGGGACACGACGTGGGGAAAGGTACCAGGCTTTAGTCCAGCCCTGTGGATTTCTTTCTTTGGCTTTATTAAGCTTTCCCATCAAAGTTTGCAAAAAAAAAAAAAGTTGTGAGGAAAAATATGTTTAGGGATGAGCCCTTCTCAAAAGGGCTTTATTAGTAATAATTTTCTCAAAATTGATAATGAAAAATCATCTGTATGTTATCCATAGCTGAAACTATACTTGTTTTTATTATAAGCACGTGTGCAAATTCCCTTGTGCACTTGGTTTTCAGTGGTAGCACCTTTTGGTTAGCTGCTTTGTGTCTGTACACTGTTGCTTTTCAGTGGGTCAGGCACCACAGCCTTGCACTGCAAACAAAAGCATCTGAAAGGAAGCTCATCTTGCACTGGTGTTTGTGTCAGACACCTCAGGTTTGCATTACATCCTTTCTGAACTGTTAAAATGTAAAATTCTGTTCTGAATTGTGAAAAATCTGTGGTGTGCAGCTTCTCTCCATTAAAAAAAAAAGTGGGAGTCATTGCAGGGAAAGTCTGAGCTGAGTTTAACTGTGGAAGAGATTTTTTTAGTGCATTGATTTCCATGGCTTACCTTTCAGTTTCTGAAATCACATGGTGGGGAGGGAAAAAAGCTGTGTCATTTTCATGGCACCACGTGCTGTATTAGCCATAGGCTGCCACGCCTGTTAAGTAAAGAATATCACTGTATTTAAATGTTCACAAGGCTGCTTATGTCTTGAAAGGCTACGTAAATAGAGCTCTCCTTAATCCCTACCTCTTGAATATGTTCAGTCTCTCTCTTCAAGTTTCTCCCTGGACACTGGTGTTGAAAGACAGGACGAGCAAAACCTCTAGAAACTTTACTAGTGCTGGTTTAAGCAAGGCAATTAGTTCCTTAAGGCACAAAGATCATGTTAAGTAATTATGTAGTGCTTTGTCATTCCTGCAATTGGCAAGCTTTCCTCAAAGGATGGCATTTCAGGTATTTTCCTTGAAATGACTATGAAAGGAAGCTCAGGTAATCCTGACCTAGACATGGGAATGACTTCCCAGTTGTGTGTAAATGTAGGTGTCTTTAACTTACCTTTTGAAATCCGGATTGGGTCCACCTAAAGCAATGCCACGACCTGAGGTTGTCCCCTCCTGTGGTCTCTGTTTGGTTGCCCTTCCTCTGGCTCTCAGAGAGCCCCATTCCTCCCTGGCCTGTCAGAACTGGGCCTTGGTGAAGAAAGCTGATCCCATCAGTCTCACACTTATTTATTGGTGATGGCTCTTCAGCCTGAAAATGGGTGAAAATGTACCTCAGTATTCTGCAAGGAAGGGGGGGAACAAAATGCCTCTGTAGTAAGTGTAACAGCATAGCCTCAAAACCTTGGTTTTTACTGTTGGTAGTTTCCATGGAGCTATGAAAACAAAATCAGAGAAAAAGGCCAGGCCAAGTCACTGCTGCCAGCTGTTGGTGTAAAAGGGTATATTATATATATAAAGTGAGTAATGAGCTCGTTGCTCTCTATATGGTTATGGAAATACGAGCGCTTCAGTGCTTGAGACAGCAGCATGTTTTCTTTTTCTGTGCTTCACATCTGTGCTGAGAGCAGTGGAGTCCTGGGGCCTCACTGGAAAGGTGTTACCAGTCCTTGGGATGGGTTGTGTGTGTGTGTCAGATGTAATGTCTGCTGTGTACCAACAGGCTGGGACGCTGAGCAACCAGACAGGGCTTTCTCAGGCCCATGAAGTTCAAACAGTTGCCACCACGTGAGAGCTAGAGTCATTTTAATTGACTCCAGTAATTTGCTGTTCTGATTCTCAGTGTATAAATGGATGTGCTGGATCAGATGACTCATCCATCTACTACAGCATCCCTGTCTTATAATGTATTGAATATTGCAACAGCAAGAGAAATTTTAGGCTTTGGTAACAGTGTCTAACAAGAAGGATGCTAAGTGGTGTTTCCCATGCTTGTTAGTGCACTTGTGAAAATTTTCCCTGTGGGACCCGTTTTGGATGTGGCTTCTGGTCTCCACTCAGCTGAAAGCCAGCGTTGAGGGGAGTAGGCTCTTGTAGACTGCAGTACGATACTGCCTTGCAGAGCAAAGCAACCTGAGAAGGAGCTGCCTGCACTAGGTCTGCTGGTCTAGATTTCAAATTAAGCCTTTAAACACACGTGGTAAATTTGACCCATCCAGCAGAAGGCAGGTGGGAAGAACTGACATTCCAAAATAAAAATGTTGTGGTTTTTAATCTCTTTCTGTTTTGTAACATTAGTTTTTTAGGAGTATAATGGGCTTTAAAAATCTCTCCAGGTAGAATATCCCAGGCTCTTTAAAGTCTCAGCAAACTCCCTGCACACACAGTGTTGCACGAGTTACACTGTCCCTGCACGGGTCTGCAGGGGAAGGCAATTTCTGAGGCAGGACTGGAACAAGCAGCTACATACCAAGTGCACTGGGTCAGTGCCAGTAAATTCATAAGTCCTGAATCACAACTGAGCTCTTCAGAGACACTTCACTACAATACATGTGCCTCTTCAAACATGAAAGTTAAGTTCTCTTAATTAGTCAGTACCTGTGTCAACTTGAATTCAAGATTTTGTTTCATTCGTTCACCTGAGGCCATGGCTTTGCTGCAAAAGAAACCCCACCTTTTGCCTGGCCGCTGTCTCCGGGTGACATCTCCTAAGAACAAGGTGGCTTCCCTGGAGAGGTTGGTAATTGAAGCACTTAGGCAGACCTGATCCCTCTTTTCCCTCTTCCTTTACCAGCTGCATCAAGATACAAACTACAAGTGCTTATGATTTTGGTAACGATACTTCCCTTACGGTTTTAGGTTAAAAATGCTGAAAAATTGTACATGTTCCTTGTACTAAGGCACAGGCTTTGTGTGTTTAAATCTGTTCCCTCTGTGCTTTTCTGCTGATCTTCCAGCTGTACCACATTTTTGTGTGAACTGATGTTTTTATTTGCTTTCATAAGCAATCTCTCAACTAGGAAAGGACATTAAGTGAAAAATGTTTGGATTCTACATGATGCTAGTTACACTTTTTCTTCAAGATTGTCAGAAGAAAAATAGTAATGTCTGTTAAAAACATTGAGAACTTTTTAGTTCTGACATTTTTAACCTTTTCCAATTTGTAGATCCCTTAGATTTTTCCAGTGAACCACTGCTAATTGAAGTCTACGGATAATGGACTTGTGATTTGCCTCACTACTGTAGATGCAATCTGCAGATCACCCTGAAAAGTCCTGCTGTAACCTCTTCCATCTATAAATAAACAAACTGGGTTTGTGAAAAGGAATCAAGGCCCCGATGATACAGATTGGATCAAAAAGAGATTTTTCAAATGCAAGCAGAAGCCTCTGCACCTGGCTGTGTCTGGCCTGTGTTAGTGGGGTCCTGTGCTCTGATGACAAGGCCACTGATAAATCCAGTACGTTTCAGTTGTGTGCGCTTTGTGGGTGGATGTACTTTTATTTTTTTCCTTGCTGTTACATTTGCTGAGGAGCATGAGCCAATTTCCAAAAGCATGTAGAAATTAAACTGAAGTGGCACATGTGTGCATCATGCCTAACAACTGAATTAAGACTATTCCTAGTAAAACTTTGCTTTTTTTTTTTTTTTTTTTCTCCTTCCCCCCCAGGTTTTTGCTGAGCCCTCCATCAGTCTGTTCGCTCTGGAATGCTGCAAGGGCAGAGAGCTGCACTTCAGTGAACCCATCAATTCTGTTTTGAATGAGGACCTTCATTTTTACACTCAGTCTGTATGGGTGAGAAGTGGATTGTAAGTATGGAAAAAATGTTCTTGTCTGATTTGTATGAGAGGAGCTAATAGTGAGCATGCACTTTCTCCCAGTCGCTGCCTTTTTTCATAGGATGTGTTTTACATTCTAACTTTAATTTTGAGACAATATAAAATCCTAAAATGCGGCTGAATGTTGGATCTACTTTTTGTATTAGGACTGAAAATGAACACAAACCCTGGGCAGAGGGTGTATTTCCCCCTGTAGGAATTGTCCTTTTATCCCTATACAGTAAGGAACAATAGAGCCTGTTGTTCAAGCCAGGAACCAAAAGTAAACAAGTTTTGATTGCTGACATACAAAGACAGGTAGAGTAAACTTGGACTGCCTTTATTAACTGGCTGTAAAATACCAGCTATAAACTGCAGTGATTTAACATAAACCACCGCAGAGGTTCTGTGAAGCTTGATGTGCTGATCAGCTGCCAAAGAGGCAGCAACTTCTGGGAGAAGCTTGGGGCAGATCTGACAGCTGGAACAGCAGTTGGCTTCTGTTATTAGTTTAACCCTCCTCTGTGAGTGTGAATACACACCCAGAGCCTTCTCTGAAAACCATTTTCCATCTGCAGAAGTGACTCTTCTGCATCTCCCCCTTTCGCCTTTTGGAGAAACACCCAAGTACTCTGTCCCAGCCAGGTTCTCAGCCTCCACATCCACAGCAGCAACAAATAACTTAGAGAGGCTCATCCTGCAGCTGAGACTGACTGGAAACTGCTGCTGTTCTAACCTGACACACATTTCCTGTGTTTCATTTTAACCTTTTCCCCACCTTTCTCACAGAGACAAGGCTGTAATTTTCTTGGGAGATGACACAAAACCACACAAAATTTGAACTAATTGGGCAAGGAATTAGTGTAGACTCTTCATGGCTTGGGTATATCTCTGTTGAGATTCTTACAATTAATTTTTCAAATGCATCTAGTCTGGACCACCTAGAAGTCAAATCCCTTCTATGGATATCTATAACTGCTGAGCACTCCTCTGATTTTTTGGAGCTGGTACAAAGGCTCAGCCTAACCCAGCTGATGCTCCAGAGCACTATGGACTTTTCTTTCAGGGATTTCACACAAGCCTTTTCTTGAAAGGTTGGTTAAGGATTGAACCTCCCTTTCTTAAGGAGCAGTCAGTGGTGACTGACTTTAGCTGTGGGCCCATAGTGAATAAAAGCTTCTCCACAGAGCTTTGCCAACTGACTGTAAATTCTAGTCCCTAACATCTGTGCCACTTCATCCTTAGCCCAGGCTGAAGGTGAGTGATCATCTGCTGCTGTTGTCTTGAGGTGCTCCAGGGAAGAGTGGCAAGGAGCTGCCCTTTGATGCTGAGAACATTGTACATGTGTTCCACGTGAGCTGTGCTAGATTGGAGGAGGAACACCTGACTGACTTCTGGTGGGAGTGTGTAAATCTTTATACCTTTGTGGAGGTGTCGAGTCCAAAGTGTGTCCTGCTGGGGAACATCTCTTTAAGAGCTGTCTCTACCTTCCCATCAGGGGTGTGGAAGGTGGGAATTAATCACTTTGCCCATGCAGTTGGCTCTAAAGAAAGGGTTGATGGCTTTGGGACCACATAGTAGAAAAGCCTGGGAGAGTGAGCCCAACACTCCAGCCCCTTCCCCATCCTCCTGTTCACTTCCGAGCCGAGTCAGCTGGTTCCCTCTCTGTGGGAAGGGTCAGGGCAGAGTGGTTGGGCTTTCTCTGAGCTCCTTGTGATGCTCCCCAGGGAAGAGACCTCCACATCCTCTCCCCATCCCACACTACAGGTAAGACAGCCTAAAGGCTGAGAGTGGCAGGTGATCGTGGGAAGTCTGTGGGATGATCTAGAGGGTTGTTTGCCTTATCTGTGATCAAGGGTTCAGGAAGGCGGATTTAGAGGTTTTTTTGGCTCCTTGCCCCAGAGCCTGCTGTCAGCTTTGGACAAATGACAAAGATTTATGTTTATATACCAATGGCATCTTGCTGCCATGCCTAGGTAGAAGGATCTTTGCCGAGCCTCAGTGAGAAAGTGGCTTGGCAAAGGGGGTTGGGGGCTGAGGTGCTCCAGGGTATGAGAAAGATGGCACAGCAGAGGTTCCTGGTCTGCATGAGAGCTGAGATGAGTTTTGTCTGTGTCGCTGAATGCCAGAAGCCCAGCCTGGCTTCAGATGGTTATTACTCTTAACAGCTCTTCCCCTGTTTCCTATAAACAACTGCTTTGAAACTGCATTTCAAATTAGACTGTTTGACACTCCAAGATCAACCTTAACTGAATTCTCAGTGACTCGACAGAAAGCATGGCAAGAAAAAAGTCAGGAATGTGTTAGAAGTGTAAGGAACACAGGGTGGTGGTCAGGCTGCTCTGAATACCCGTTAGGCAGGAGGGTGCAGGACTTGATTTGAAGAAACAGTGATACAGCCTCATTGCGAGGAGTCCTGGCTGTCAGCTTGTCCAAATTATGTGCAATGGGAAAAAATAAATTACAGGTGCTGTTGGTGGGTGTTTTCTCAGTGACTTTAGGTGCAACCATCCCTCATGTTCTTGGCAGCTGACCTGTAAAACAGGTAATGTCAGGAAACCAGTATTTGCTTTGTGTTCAGCTGAGTTAATGAGTCAAAGCCTTGAGGATTCACTGTCTGCACAACAATGTCCTACTGATACAAACAAAACCAATGCCCTGTTGATATAAACAATCTCTGATCCTCAGGCTGCCTTTGTAAGCAGCAGCACAGTATTTACTGAGCAGATGCCCAGATAACAAGGGGTCTGTATGTGCCAGGGCTTTAACTCTCCGTTAAAGGATTCAGCCATGTCCATGGCTCAGATATATTCACTGCAGGAAAGTCTGGTAGAGCAACGTGGAGGTTTTTGGAGTAAATATTTTGTATGTGTTTTCAGACAACTGGAATAGCTATAAAAGGTTTTAACTGTAACAAAAGAAAACATTGGACGAGATCCTCTATAATTAATATGTACAGCCAGGCAAAGCTGCAAGTAGTGCAGTCTGATATGTGGCTTCCTAGTTTCCTAATCCATCCTCACTGGAACTTGCATTATTCCCACCTGGGTTCATGCAGAGGTTCTCATATTTATGGGAAAATTTGGGAGGGGAGTGGAATTTAGAAGTTTCAGGCAGACAAACAGAAAATGGGTCTTAATTAGACAGGAAACAGTTAAACCAGTGAAATGGCACGGATGGTAATAATAGAAGTTTGGTATTAGCACTACTGTGGAGAGGTCTGGGGGCTTTGAAGAGCAGAGTCCCAGACACAGGCCTGTAGCTCAGTTCTGCTGTGGTTAACGTGTCGTCTTTTCACGTTCTGTTTTCTGTATCCAGGTGGATTGCATATGAAGGATGTAATTTTTTAGGAAGGCAGATTCTGCTGGAGCCCAGTGAGATTTCCAACTGGAATGAACACAGTGGCTGGAAACTAATTGGCTCCCTTCGTCCTGTGAAGCAGGTACTGTAAGAGTGTGTAAGGACCATTTTTATTTATTTTTTTGGACAGGGATTAGTGCACAAATAACAGCTCTAGCACTGAGTATCGCGGTTTGCCTTGAACTCCTTCAGTCAGGCCAAATGATGACAGCCAGAAGGACCTACTGGAAGATTACTGAAGCAGAAAATTCCTCCAATGGCAGTTCCTGAGATCTATATTAGGTTCCTAAAAGGAAATAATTTCTAGTTTCTTGGAGTCAAGTTTTGTTTTTCTGAATGGCTCATTAGCATGTTCTGTAGATGCTCTATTTTTACATTTACAATAATAATGAGAAAACCAGTTCTATATTGGCTTATTTTATAACATATATGGAAGCAAGAACAAATTTTATTGTGCTGTAGCCTGAATTTCCAAAAGAAGCAAAGTTTATGCAGCCCCACTCTATTTTCCCTCTCTGCTTCACCCCAAGTAATACCAATTTCACCCTCATTCAAAGATTCAGGTCTTGAAACCTCAAAGTTCTTGGGACCTTTGTGAAAGGAAATGGAGCATATGCTTTAGAAAACTGATGTAAGATGGAGGGGAGGTATTTTCACATCGTCTTTCTTAATCTCTGTGTTACAACTATCCTCCTTCTCACTATTCCAGCCAGCAGTGTACCTCAGAGTGAAGAACCGAGCCCAAGGTAAATACCTGACAGTGGCTGGAAGCCTGGCAGATATAAGAGCGACCTCAGTGTGTGCGTCCCCGTACAACGGCAAGAACACCCAGATCTGGCACTACTGTCGGGGACTCTTCAAATCCAAGGTGAGCTTCCAGGTGCTGGAAGTGTGGGTGAGTTGTATCACCTGCTGTCCTTTCACCATCACTGCTTGCTCTTACTGTTGGCTAGGGTTCGTACCAGGAGAGCTTCTGGCCTCTCACATCCATCTGAAACCAAAACTCTTACAATTACCTGTCTGCTTTGCTAAGCTGGAGTACTTGTCATATCTGACTCATGGGGCTGATGTTCCTAGAAGTAGGAACTGGTTTTATCTAAAGTCAAATGTTTAAGTTTGTTACCTCTAAAGAGTGAAGAATTTGACTGAAAAGTAAAACACGAAGACCGTGAGTGACTCTGTATTAACGCTGCCCTTGCCAGTCTGTTATTAATAGAAAAAGCTGAATATTTAACATAAGAAACACCTGAAGTAACAAAGACCACCATCTGTGATCCAGCAGCTGGTCAGCTGCTGAATAATCTGTTCCTAGCTTGCTTACCAGCCATAGCATGATTACTGCAACGTGCTCAGAAACAAGTCAGACACAAAAACAGAGGCTTTGTGGCCTGGGTCTCGCTTCTTGTTCCCTAGGCTAATAATGCCTGTCTGGATGTCATTGGTGGCAGAGATGTGCCTGGGGCCAAAGTCGCGCTCTGGGCAGAACATGGGAAGGACAGGCAGAAGTGGAGACTCAATGAGGATGGAACCATCAGTTCATACCTCAGTGACCAAGCAGTGCTTGATATTAAAGGTATTTAAAAACAAACTAACTAACTAACTAACCCTCAGAAGTTCTAAATGTGTTTTTTGATTGAGGTTAATTGCTGTAATCCAGCTCTTTGTCCTTAAGGTTAAATACCAAATTGGATCTTTCCTCTTATTTTCAGTTGCTTGACAGTGGGACAGGAAACAATGGGGCAGGGGGGACCCTTATTCTTTTGCTCCCAGAGGTTTATTTTGATCAGATCAACTATTCTACTTGCAGGAGTTCAGTAGTGCTGATGGCAAGAAATGCAGGTTACAGAAAACCCACAGAATAGCTCGAAAAGTGCTGAATAATAGAATGTTGAAGGTGGGGTTGGTGAGGTGCCATTTCATTGCTCTTTAGAACAGTTATTTTAGTGGATTTTTATTTATGGTATAAAGATAAGAAACACACTGACATTTCTATGCTACATGTATTTAAAGGGGAGAAATTTTAAGATCTTCCTAAGCTTGTGGTTGAAGCGGATATGCTACACAGAGTCATCTCACATGGATCTGTGAATCTGGGTGTTCCTACTGTAGCAATATGCACTTTAAAAATCCAGATGCGTAGTGGGAGCTCAGGATCTGCCAAGAGCAAAATGTGTCTGTGCACAAAGGTCCGTTCGAGGACTCTGGTGTGTGGGATACTCTGCTTCCTCACTAAAGGAGCTCCTCAGTGACAGCCTGAACAAGACAAACATAGAGGTGGAGAGGCAGACACCAGCCCTTTACCTGGTGCAATTTCTATTTTTCAGCTAATTAATTACACTTTTTCAAGATTATACATAATTAATTTTAAAATTTTTTCCTTAACTATTTTGTTTGTTTTTTAAGGAGGAAATTATTATGACAAGAATCATATCATTATGAATCAGCCAACAGAAGACAAACATTCACAAAAATGGGATATTGAAATACTGTGAGTACAACCCCACCACACAGATGGACTTTGTGTGGGTTATTAACACTTAGAGGGGGAAAAAAAACAACCTACTGAAGTCACACACCACTGGAACCTTAAGGAGCAACTCCTCTCTACTTTCCTTCCTACCAAGCACCAACTCCTAAAACAACTGAATTTTGCACAAATCCAGAAGATAGGAGGTTGATCTAATGTCTTTCTGCAGGGAAGCAGATTCTTTAGAAGCTGCTCCTATGAAAAGTCGCTATTACCTTCATCTGGAGTATTAACAGTAAATGCAAAAGACTAGACATCGTCTCTGCAGGATAGAGACTGCAAGAGAAAATATAGGAAAGGCTCTTTAGAAATGTTGTCTTTACCTTCCTCTCAAAAACTGGTGGAAATTCATTGAGGAATTAATGCACTAAGGAGCTTGAAAGAGGTTGAGTTGGACTTTCCTGTCCCAAGTGAAACTGTGTTGGCTCCAAGCGATCCTGAAGCTCAAATCCTATCTCTTGCTAAAATGCAATTTAATTTGTTCATAAAGCCAACTCTGAACTGGAATTACCAGCTCAGGATGTGAAATGGGGCAGCAGAGAGAGCCTGACTTCCACCTCCCTAACGTTACTGGTAGGCCTTTGTCTTCATCTAGTAAGTACCAAATTTCAGATTCAGGAACTGGTTTTGCAGACCCGTGGCCTGGTTCCAACTTGTGAAACTGTGAGTTATCATTGAAGGTCACCTTTAACACGGAGCCATATTTGCTTGTAGCAAAAGAAAATAAGCGCTCCTGGGTCAGGCTAGATTTTACAAGGGCTAGCTGCATTTAGTGCAGTAACCATTTTAACTCTAGCTGTATTGTGTTTTGCTGTATATAGATTAATTTAATACGATGTAATTTGGTCTTGAAACCATGTCTTCCTTCAGGAAACAGTTCACCCTAATGTGTATTTTCAAAGGTGCTAGCAGCCTGCATTTCAGCATTTGCTTTGTGTTAAAACAGCAGCGTAACTGCACGTTAACATTCCTGGGGCTCATCAACACCACATCCAGCTTATCCCAAAGGATGAGGACTGAGCCTCATGGTCCAGACCTTGGCATGCTGGTGCTTCCCTTCATGTCAGCACTATGCAACCAGCCTACTGGCTGTCACTGAGACAGAGACAAATACTGTGTTGGACTGCAGCTGTCACAGGCACGTTCCACACTCACCCCTGGCAGATACAGAAGGAACTGCAGATGTGTGCAGGGCTGTGAACACCTGATGGGGAAGAGAAGTCCCATAGATCACTGGTAACTTCATTTGATTTCAGCGTCACTAAATTAATCTATTTCATTGAATATGTATTTTTTTTCCTTTTTTGTATATTCAGAGTATGTATTTCTATGACTATTTAAAGAGTTCAGGTTAGCTAAAGACAGATATTTTAGTTTCCAAAAGCTGTAACTATTCCAGTTGTGCATTCAAACAGGATTCATCCCCAAACAAGTAAAAGCACATAACCCTAAATTTGCCACAGAAATAAAATATATGGATGTCTATTTTTGTATGAAATGGAGTTCTATATAGTAATATTTAAAAAAATAAAAATCTACTTGCACTTACTATTTTACATTCTAAAATTATCCTAAATCTGCTGTTTAAGTAACAGATCTTCAACTGTATGTATGTATTTTTCCAACTAAAGCACTTGTTTAGCTTTTTTTATGTCAGTCAGGGTAGTGTTCTACTTGTGACTTGCTTTCCATATGAAATTTTAAAAGACTGTGTAAAAAGTTTTAGCCTTTTAAACCAAGAATGACTAAATTGTATTTGGTGCATCAGTGTTACATAAGCGAGGAAAGCAGGTTTTTGTACTTCAGAGAGCTTGAATGTAAAATGCTAAGCATGTATATTTTAATTGTATAAAACTTTTTTTTTTTTAGGAGGAACATTTTGCTCGTTGGTTTCTTTTTAAACAAACTAAATGCAGCAATAGGCAGGCACATTCCTGTAAAATACTTCCTCGCAAGTGGACAAAAAAGGGGTAACTATACCAAATACATGACTGTGCTGTTACCTTAGTTTGCATATTAAAACATCAGTGTTCAAGTATTACAATAACTCCATCAAAACCCACTCCAGTGAGCACTGAAGGTACAGATTCCAGTTACAGGTTTGTGCTATTTTCACATTAAATTGGTGCTGGAGGAGGTAGAGGTTAAATACTATCTTTTGCTTATTGCAGAGGTGGCAGCATCTGAGAGGAAAGGGGTTTTCTTGGGTAAAGACTTACCCCTTTGGAAAACAACATACAAAACTTTACTGAGAAGCTTTTGTTCTCTCAGAACAAATGTGTTTTCTTGCTGGTGAACTTTACAAATGAAAGAACAAGTTACTGGTTTTTGCCCAAGGTCCTGGAAGCTGCTCCATGTGTACCTTTTGCTGTCCTCTGCATCACAGCAGCGATCTGGAGAAAAGGGGCTACTAGAGCACTGGTGTTAGGATGAGTGACTTCCTCCATCCAGACATGGAGCTATGGCTCACTGGACAATGAGCAGCTCACCTGTTTTTCCTGATGCCTGTTTTCCTAAAGCTAAGGAAAGAAAAGTAACATTTGGCACCAGAAAGTAGCAAAGTGTATATACTGCAATGCTTTGTCAGACACCAATACAAACCCAGGCTGGATGGATTAAAAAAAGTAGTTTAATAAGCTTTTCTCTCAAGAGATTCTTAATGGCCAGAAATACTACTTACATGAACAGCTCAGTCACAAAAGCATCAAATAACTTCAATTAGACACTCAGTCCATAGCGACAAGGCAAGGTTTTCTTTCTCTTCATCCGAGATAAGGTTAAGCTCTTTAACATAAATAGTGCTGCTACTCCAAATCTGCTTCAGTGCATCGAAGTACGACAGAGGAAACCGCAGTCCGTGACTCTGCTGGGCAAAAAAATAATTAAAAAATATATATATCCTTCAATTAAGTGCAGTGTCTCTTATTCCACACTAGTGTGTTCAGCTGTAGGCACTGATCAGCAGGTATGAGCTGCTTTCCCACATCACACCAGGATTTCTGAGCACATCCTGCAAAAGATACAGTAGCATCCTGCCAAATTTCTTAATAGACACCTGAAATCTCTTAACGTGTTCTAACACAGCTCATGAGGGAGGGAGGCTTAAGGTGTGTGGCTTCCTCATGTGGTTTCTGCTTTGTGTAATTTGTACAGAGCTGTATTCAAGTATTTCAGGTCACAGATCTAAGACAGAGCATTTTATTGTCATAAAGTGGAACAAGACGTTCCAAAACTCACAGCCACGCTTCAGGAGTATTGATGATTGTATGGACCCTGAGTAAGAATGGAGAGGAACCATCTGCAGCCTTATTGACAGTATAAAAAGCTCCCTCCTTACATTTCAGTAAGAGTTAACTCTTGACTCCCACTTCCAACCCACCCCACCCTAAAATAACCCCCCTTAGCTTGCGGTATGTTCCAGTGGATACACAATCTCACAGGGGTTCAGTGTGGGATAAACACGGCGCGTAAGGCACAGCGATCCTTGCCCCTACTGACCACGTGCTGGCACATCCAGAGCCTTAATAAAGGATGTGCTCAAGCACACAGAAGTAAGTCACACACAGAAGTAAGTCACTCCAGTAGCTTTGCTACCTGGGACATAAAGCTTGCATAAAAAAAATCTTGTTAACATCTCCAGCAGTTAATTAAGCATGAGATTCCATCACTTAGTTCTACTATCAGCTGTCTCTGTGTTGCAGCCTCAGCTCATCTGCGTATTAGGGGATGGGCAGAAATGTTTTGGGTGTCAGGAAATACAGCAGAACCCAGGACTCTGCTACCATCGAGCTCAAGCTCTTCTAACGCAGCAAAACCCAACGTGGCAACGTAGCGTTTGTGTGTGTAAACGGGAGCAAACCTGTGTGGTGCCTTCCTCGCTAGCAGTATCATCTTCTGTCCCCATCATGTGAGATTCTCTCTTGTTCTTTAAAGAATGATACACATAGACCATCTCTCTGCGAATTTCATCCTAAAAGACAGCAGGGGGAAAAAAACCAAAACAGTTACTTGTGATCCAGGCTCTCAAATTCATCTCACTCAAGTGCCAATGTTAGCTCCTTAATTCTGGAGTCCACTGTTATATCAGTGAAAGCAATTCACCTTCCTAACTGACTGAACTACAGACATAAGGGAGTCTCCAAAACATTGCTGAACATTTATTTACAACTTACAATCTTCTACCTCCACTAGACTCACAGAACTGATGCTGTATAGAAAAATCTGCTATTTAAGGTGCAGCTCCTTGGCCTTAATGAAGGCATGTGCATCAATAAACTTCCATCCTGATACTGCTCTGTCTCTTAAAAATCACATGCCTGTCAACACTCCTTGGTCAAAGCTGTGCAAAGCAATTCAGAGCTCTGTGGTCAGGTCTTGCACTGAATCTGTGGACACAAGTCTTGCATGTGTGCTGTCAATCAGGGTTTAGCTGAATGACATCAGAAAGCAAGGTGGCAAAAAAAATAGCACAAAAAAAAAAGTTTCCAAAACCTACAGTCTCACAGCACTATGGAAACAGGAACAAAAATGAAATGCAGGAGAAAAATCAAAAAGTTATGGTGTGTTTTTCTCAGAGAGAAACATTTTACTCATGAAAAAAAAAAAGGTCTAAGACAGTCTGTCCCATCCCACTCCCCCTCCTCCCCTTTTTTTAAATGAAGCCAACAAAAGAAAACACTTCTACAATTTCATACAAATAAACCTGCATAGATAAGAAGTAGCCTGAACACAACATAATCCAAGATGCCAGCGTTATTTTGTGGAACAACGCAGTAAAGCCACTTGTGCCCACGTCAGTACAAAGATAACTCAGAGGAGAAGACTAAATGCAACCACAGTTGGCAGCAGCTGCAACCGAGAGAATTCCCTCTTTTGAGGGAACCTATTTTTAGAACTTATTCACGTGCTTAAATACAAAGAATAATTAAAAAAATAAAAATCCATTATCAAGAGCTACAGAGGCCGTTTAGCAGCTGTAATAATGATCTATCCCATCTAACTGCAGATACAAGCCCTGCACCTACTGTGCAGAATCACAGAATAAATTTAGCTCCGGAGCTCTCCTCCCGAAGGCAAGATCGTGCCGTTTTACTGTTTGCCAAAGCCATCATCTCCTCTCAAACCCTAATGGGATGCAGGATCCAACTTGGTGTAGCTGCACAACCCTTTTAGACCAGAACAACTCACACACATACCTCGCACACCCCCTGCACTCCCACCCCAAGCATATGGAGGCTGCCTTCATTGTACTCACAGAATGTTCTTGATCTGGTTCCACTGTGATGATAGCATGATCTCTGAACTGCAGTCTGATTTTGCTATCTATTTTGGGCAATTTCCCACCTAGGGAAAACAAATTCTCCATCAGAAAAGAAGGAAACCAGACAAACAGTGTACACTGAACCCTCTGTGCACCACCCACTTTCCTGTGGCTAGATTTTTTGTTAACCTGTGTTCCAACACCCACATGTTCTCAAACTCGGGGAGGGAGATATTTTTTATTCTTTCACCTTTACCATCTACAAGTAGCTGTAAGAGCAAGTTACAGTAAGGACAAATTCTACCAGTTAAACATTCCCAGCACACAGTAGTTTAGTTTATTAAAGCTGCCAGTTTCAGTCTAGGATAACCTTTCTTTCACCCTAAGGCATGCCATGCCATCTCTGCCACTACACACAGAGAATTCACCAGCTGAGGTGTGCAAATGCACACGTACAGCCCAGCACAAGATGAAGCTGTCCCTAGACTATAATCTTTGCCTGCCATAAAATACCAAAGCCCTAAGAGGGAGAGTTAGCAACAGCTCTGCCATCACATCAGCCAAGGGAATGGGTGCTCACTTCAAAACCTACCTGGAGTCAAAGGATCAGAGTCGCATCCCAAGCAGGGTGGCAGCCGGTTCATAATGAAATCCTTCTTCATGTCAGATGATCTCAGTTCTCTGGTGTTCTCCAGACGGTCTGCAAGCCTTCTCAAAAGGCTACTCAGTTTTTTTGTCGAGTCAGCTATATCCACCTGCTAAATATTCACACAGAGTTGCTCTCACATGAATTTAAGCTAAACAGACAAGCCTAAAGCCTAAAGAAAAAGAGGTGCAGTAGTAATGCAGTGAAAATCTGGCCACTCCTCTTTTATCTTTGCAAAGGGCAACAACCTTTAATCCCAAAACAACCTTTGTTTTACACGTTCCCCACCAGGTGTTCACACACCAAAGCTGACGCTCACTTTCCCCCACTCTGGGGCTACCTGCAATGTGAAGGGACTTGCAAGTGTAGTTGAAAGAGAGACTTGTTCCTTCTGCACGCTGCTGAGCTGATCAGCTGCACAACTGGACCACCATGAAGAGGTCACAGAATCATTCCCGGCTTTGCTAGCTTCTAAAGATTCAAAAGCTTGGCCTGACAGGAACTATGCCTGTCTGACAGCTCCAAAGCAAATGCCATTACTTTGAGGAGATAAGCCATACAAGGACACTGTGATACGAAAGAGAGGCAGTGCAATGAGCCAGGCAATGCTTCAAATGGAGCATACTTCAGAACAGTCACCCTGAACTCTTCAGAAGAAGTGGTTGTGCTGTTAGACAAGACAGTGCCTTGCACCGAGCTTTCAGAGCAGATCAACAAAACACAGGCTTGCCTCCGTGCTGAAGTTTCAGCTGGATGCACTGTTGTTCCTCAGTCCCACCTACGTACCATAAGCAGTTGCCTTGGTATGCTTGTCCGCAATGCCACGTCTTCTTTTGCTGTGTCAAACACAAGGCCAGGAATTGCATCCAGTAAGAAATCACCCCAAGAGCTGAAGGACAGGAAGAAAGAAAAAAAAATTACTAAAATAGTTGCACTGAAATAAAATAAGCAAGGAAATGGAATTGGGCTGGAAATGTAGTGCTCCAATCCCACATCTGCTTCCTTCCATCTCCACTCTACTCTCAGGCAATAGCTCACTCTCAACTGTCTGTCTGTGTGTCCTCGCTAGCTTCAGGCCAGTGGCACTCCTAGGGAGGGAAGGAACTGGCTTCAGAAGGGTCCAGTTTGTTCTGATGCAGGTGCTTGCCATTTGCCAGTGGATTCAGCTTAAAGCTGCTCTCAGTCGTTATTATCCAACCACACACACCTACGGCCCCACTGCACACAGTGAAGGGTGTGGGGCTGCCTCAGTAACGAGCTTTGGAGACAATTACACTGCAGGAGGAAATGTACCCAGGGTGATCAAACCCAGCATGGCATCAGTTTTAGCTTTGCTACTTAGTCTACATACTTTAAAAAACAAAGTCTCTCTCTCTCTCTCCAAACAAACAAGGAGGAAGAACAGCCTGAAATTCCTACTACAATGATATTTAATCTTTTTCCTTAAATGAAATGTTGCAAAATGGAGCACTGAAAGCACTTAATAAAATCATGCAAGCAGAAAGGAAACTGTAGCCTTTCTGTTATTCTTTACTCTTTATAATCTCTTTAAATTTTTGTTGTGCCCTTTAGATATCCAGGTAAACATCAAACCAAGGTGTTTAGGTGACTATCAAATGCAGGAGAACCTATGGTGAAAGGAGTAACTCGTGACTCTTATCTGGGTTACGAAATGAACAGGAACTTCAGCCACTGGTGATTTTTTTTAAACACAACAGTAAGTTTGCAGTTGTAACATTATCTTCCACATTGAAATCTACAGCTGGTAAATAATAAAATAACCAATTAAAAAGCAATCAAGCTTGCTGCATGAAAACCTGGTAAACAGGCTGCTTCAAACAAAAAGGGTCTCGCTCCTCTCCTTCCCCCAAACCTCAAAACTTCAATTCCTGCTACCTGAACACTAGCTTAGATCCTGTTACCCACAGAAGGGCACACAGAGAATAGTGGGACACCTACATGTAGCCCAGGTCACCACATCTCTGGGGGGAAGGTGAGAAGGTGACAGGCCCTATCCCTGCATTACTCACAGAAACACAAACCACACAAGGGGTAAACAGAATGGACACAGAAAAGAGCTAAGCAGAGCTCGTGACACGGTGGTTATTCTTTTAAGAAATAAGACATGACTTCTTTGAAACATCGATTTCAGATCTGCACTATTCACACACATCATCTGGCAGAGGAAAGCCATTTTCAGAAAAAACATACTAAAAAAAATATATATAAATATATATATAAAGAATAATTACTTGTTTTGGTAGGTACTAATGGTCACATGTGTAGAATAGGAGATGCCAAGAGGAGTGTCAGCTTGGTGAATAGTGCCTCTGGGGAAGTACAGTAAGTCACCTGGCTGCAAGAAAATGAAAGAATTGATGTATTTAGGGCACCAGATCAAACCTTATTGTAGTCAAAATAGAGAAGATACTCCCTGAGCAGACAAGACTGACAACATATGTTTTTTAATTTCACAAAATAAAGAGATCTTCCACTGTACCCTTTAATAACATAAAATAAAGCACTCTAAGCCAGAAGTCCAGTATCTTAAACTTTCCAACGTAGCATCAATATTTACTATACATCCGTCTGAAAACACAAAGCAAGCCTTTAACATTACAGAACATGTACATTCCAAATCAGCTGCATAAAGGGGACAAAGCAGCAGCTGAGATCAACCTGCTGACAATGCAGCAGGCTGGCAGAGAAGCAGTGCAATCAGAATTTGGTCATGTCTAAAGAAAAGGCCAGTATTCCACAAGAAAAGCCAAATATTCTATAAAGACAGTAATCTGTTACAATACTGTTGTCTGAAATTTTCAGTTAAAACACTTAAAAAACAAGTACAACCATCCTCCTCCCTACCTTCCTTCTCACCTATCTAAATTAAATCTCCACACTGATAAAAGCTTAGATTAGGAAAGTCAAGATAAGAGAAGTGAAAAGCACAAGAAATTGCCTCCCAGAAGAAAAAATCAGTTTATTTATGACTTCTCCTATAAACATCTCTATAGTTGGGTAACACAGTCAAAGAGAAAATTCATAAAGCAACAACGATGAAATTTTATTCCATTTTAATTTTACCATTCACAGAATCACAGACTGGTTTGGGTTGGAAGGGACCTTAAAGCTCATCCAGTTCCAACCCCCCTGCCAGCAGCAGGGACACCTTCCACTAGACCAGGTTGCTCAAAGCCTCATCCAACCTGACCCTGAACACTTCCAGGGAGGAGCAGCCACAAATTTGGAAAAATTTCCAAATTTCCAAAATTTAAATTCCTTAAATTTGTTCACAGTACCTATTTCTAAGAGCCTACTGAGTAACATAGATATATTTCAAGTGAATACTACTTGATTTTTCACAGAATCAAAAGGTCTCTTTAGATTATGACACTTCACAGGACTTGGCAAGACCAAGTCTCTTCGTCCGCATCGCGGATCAGCTCCGTACGAGGTACCTGTTCTGCAGCGAGCCTCTCTCTGCCACTAATCAACTGCCTTACTCACCAGTGCAGGGACTACACTGAGCAACTAAGAGTATCCTGAATTCTCTTCATTTGCTATGCTTCACATCCCCAGCAAGAAAACAAACTGGAGGGTGGGTCACATAGGGGAAGGGTAAGAGCCCTGAACATCTCCCAGAGTGATGACAAATTAGCCTGTAAAATAAGTTAGTTCATGCTGCAGCAGCCCATGTCCACCACTAAGGAGCCAGGATCATGATTTTTCAAAGCAGTCTTTGCTGAAAAGTCCAACTCTTACTCAGCTTATCTGCTGGGTTGTCTCATCAATGTCATTCACATGAGCCAGCAAGCACAACGCTCATCAATTAAAATAACCAGAGTCTTCACAGACTCCAGGTGGCAACACCCAGATTAGGGCAGGACGGACAAGAGACAAGGTGGATCTGATCACTTTGCTGCCTTTGTGCTTCTGAATTGGAGGAAGGAGGGGCAGACGAGAAAAATACCAGCAAATTAAATGGAAAATCATACATGAAAGTGACTAGACAGCCAGCTACCAAATAAGCTCTGGGCTTGACACTGGTAACAAACCAGGCATGGCCACAGCCTGTAGCAGTGTCACCAAGACACCTTACACACAACCCAGCCTGCCTTCGCTCTCAGCCAGCGACCAGCTTTTGGTGGGAAAGGAGAACATCACCAATAAAGTCTCTAACTAACTGGTCCATTTGTTCTAAACTAGTCAAGGACAGTAGATGGCAGAAATGCAAAAAAGGAGAAAGGAAATATTCCAGAAAAAGGCTTAGAAAGAGTCATCTGAGAGCATCCCTGTCAGAGACAGCTCCAGACAGACAACCCAAATCTGACAGCAGCCACCCAGAAGAAACGGGCCACGGGAAGTGAAGAACATCAAACAGAAGAAAAATAAATTTAAAACATAGATAATTTTTAAGGCCTTTTCAGAGGCCAGTATTTTCACTCCACTCATGTCAGCAAAATGGCTTGTGGAATACATCATTATTCCATAAAAATCAAAGGTATTGAAGTCTGGCCCAAAATGTTCCAGAAATTAAAAAGGGAACTGTAATTTACTAGACTTTGCATCACCCAGTACATCAGGACAACTGACAGGTATCAGTCAAACTACACAGTTAGTGATGGCAGTATCATATCCAGTGTGCCATGCTATCCCTAAATCACCCACAGCCAAAGGCAGGTCTGAACCCCAGGAGGAGCAGAGAAAGGCCCTATGACAGGGCACAGGAACTAATGAGGCTCCCAGCACAGAGCAGCCCTGTCTGCTGGATAAAGAACACACACAAGCACGTCAACCAGAACGGGACAGGTACCAGATGCCCTGCTGTCAAAGGAGCTGCACCCCTTCATCTTCATTAAATGCTCCTTGTATTCTCAATAACAAAAAAACAGCCAAACACTTCATTTCCAGCTTTGCAAAAAGAAGAAACAATTAAGACAGCAAGTTAATATGGGGTTTAGTTCATGCTTTTGATTATCAGCCAAGGATAAATATTTAAATCTAATTCACCAGAACAGTGACAACCTTTTGTAAAGCAGCAAGTCTTCAGTGCACTGAAGGATTATCCTGATTGATTACAGACAGCATGGAAAAGCATAATAATGTTTCATAACCATATACAAACCCCATGTTTTTTCTGCACACAACTCCACAAACATGATCAAGGAGTCGGGGTGTCCAACTAGGAGAATATTGGAGAATTTTCAGAAATAACTGGTTTCTTGGCTCATTATTTAAATACTAAAGCAAAGGATACTTTTGAAGAAGGATGGATTAGACAACTATCACCCAAATTTCTCGTGCTCACAGCGTGCCAACACTCCCCTCAATTTCACAACCACGAACATTCAGAATACTGTCTTCAATAAATGGACCATTTTAAACAAGACTACTTTTCTGGCAAGCATAGCCCAGAGCAGGTAAAGCAATTCAACTGTAATACCTTTAATATGAATTCATGTGTGGGATTCCCAATCCTCTCTTCTGATTCAACATTATATTCCCGAGCTAAATGCACTGTTGGTTTATAGAGTCTCCAATGCTTCTCGCCTTCTAGTTGAAGGATAAATACCTGCAAAAGACCATAAATCCAAATGCATAAGGAAGCCTTGATGCCCCTTACACATCCAACTGATCAGAAATTTTAAGTGGTCTTCTTACTTGGAAAGTCTGTGGAACCATGTCAGAGAACAGGGATAAAAAGCAAACAGAAGTGACACAGGTTGCTTTTCTGACAAGAAGAAACAGATTTCACCTTCCCTGCTCTCAGCTACTCCACAACATGGCAAACAAGATTCCTCTCACATTAATTTTCAAATGCCTACAATGCAGAAATGAAAATACCAAGTCTGGAAAGCACAGTTCACGTGATATTACCAGTAGATATTACTATTAGTACCTCTCCAATAAAATTATACAAGAAAAACAACTGTTAAGAAACACTTCCAACTAATTACCATAAGTTTTCAGTGGAAAAAACATTTTTCTATAGTAAATTATCTTCTAGGGGGGGAAGTGCATATACAGGTATGCACTGTCACTAGCAAAAGCCCACACACAGCTTCACAGAGAAGGTTGTGCTGTCCTACCTCAACATCATCGTAGTGAGGGGGAAGGCCCTGTGACCCCTGAGGAGTAATGTAAACATTCGACCCAACCAGGGACCCGAAGTAGCACTCCAGCTTCTCCTGAATCTTCCACAGCTCCTCCTTTGAAAAGAAATGATGCTGTTATCACTCAAGAGCTCAGCCAAGCCAGGCTGCTGCCCAGCCCACAGCCTCCCCATCGCTTGGGAGGTTTTTTTCTAGTGAATGATCACATCCTGACAGGGAGGCTGGGAAGGCAGATGCTCTGTCAGAGTGTCCCTGCTGAAAGCAAGCACTGCAGACACAAAGGAGATCTGCTGTGAAAGAAGACTGGTGCCCCATCATAGTGTTGATGTTTGTTCTCTTCCCTGCACGATTTTTAGGTTGCAAAAACAGAGAAACAAGGCTAGGAAGAGGAAAATAAACCACCAACATCCCACAAACAGCAAAACATCTTAAGACAATGAAGAGATGCAGGACTTGCATTATATAGGCTAGCATCAAAGAGAGCATAAAAAGGTTAGAGATCTTTTTTCCAGTGACTCCAATTGTTTGGGCACACTCAAGAACAAACTTTATTCATCCACATCTGACACGTGACAGACGATGCACCGAAGGGATGACTCTCATGTCAGAAGATGCCAACCACCAGCGCTGCACAAGTGCAACTTCAAACAGAATTCATGTAGGTCCAGCTCAAGCTCTAGATTTCAACATAAGCCATGCAACATTTCTATTTCACCTGCAGATGCCTCTGCCACCGGCCACTACAGCTGCACTGCAACTGAGATCAACCAGCAACACTGTACCTGGGACTCAGCTGTGTATGTGGGTCCTTACAGACCACTTCGCAATTAAACTGTGTTGTCATCACAGGACAGAACTGGACGACCTAAATCCAAGGACCTTTAAGCATCCAAGTCCTTTAAACCAAGTGGTGAGTGGACACCACTGCCTCATCTCAACACATGATGACTGCAAAAGCATCAAAATGAACAAAAGAGGGAGGGGACACAGCTAAAACGTGGTGCCAATTCAAAGGCAATGGTGGAGTGTCCTGGAATTATTTTCCATGGTTTCACACCCTGCCCTCCATTAAAGGAAAGTGGTACCAAAGCCCCTATTTGCACAAGGAAACAGTGGGGCAGAAGGGATCATTTAAGCAGACACAGATGCATAATAATCAATTTTATGCATGCAGTTTTTTCTAAACTTTTACGTGACAAAGCAATTTTTTAAAAGGAATGTTTAATACTATAGGACAAATCAGATTTTGTTCTTACTGCACAGCACCGAAACATGATGGGCAGTGCAGAAGTATAAACCATGTTTTAATTAAAGTAGTTCATTTATAGATTTTAAAAGGTCATCAATGTCAGCTACTTCACCTGGATTTACTGGGGACAGAGATGAAGCTATGTCTAATATGACTCAAGCAAAGTACACCCCACTATAAAACATGCATTAATTATATTCAATGAAATGAGCCAACCTTAAATCTCTGAGGTTGATGAAACTGTATTGTTGCTTTTTTCTGGTCAAAATCCTTCTTCAGCTGCATGTAATTCACTTTTCCTTCTTTATTTAAAACTTTCTTTTTGCCGTTGACACACCTGCAGATATTTATATCTCGCCCATAGTAAAGACCCTGGCTGCACAGTTCCTTCAAATCTGACAACTGGAAGAGGGACTGGTAATAAGCAGCCAGCAAGGGATCATTTCTCTGAAGAAGAAGTGGCTTTTGCTCCCAGTACTCCTTGAAAAACACTTCTTGTTTGATGGGAGAGATCAAGCTGCCGAAGAGGCTGTCTGGGCTTTCAAAATTCAGGACTGATGGAGAACGATCTGTGTCCACCTTTGCTCGTTTACACTGTGCCTGCATCTCTTTTCCCATTTCAGCATGCTTCCCCTTCTTGGGCATGTTCCTGTTGAAGAGGAGAGAGAACCAAAAAACAGTCAACCAGTAAGACAATCTCAAAAGCTTGTGGGCCCAGAGCAGCTCTCCCTGCCTTCCCAGGTGGAACATCAGAGTATGCTGGGAACAGCTCTTCTTTTAGATGCTCAGTTTGCACCAAGCAGCAGAAAAAGGAAAGCCCACAGCAGGCCTGTGATCCTCTCTCAAACCTCAAACCCTGCAGCTGAGTTCATACTAAAAAACACACGATGGCTGCACAACAGATCTTTATAAACACAGGAATCCAGCCACAAAAAGCAGCTGTGGTAGACTGGTCTTCTGGAGCAAGAGCTGCAAATTATTAAAAAATTAACTCAGCTTTAAGAGATTTAATGGCAACACGTAAAGGGGGTGGAGAGAGGGGACAGGATACACTTGTACCCTCTTAGACTTCCTTGAAATGCATTGATATTGGGGAAAAAAAACCACAAGGAAGAGTCCCTGCTTTAGCAGGAGCTACAGAGGAGGCAGATGCTGCAGTGAGGGGACACGGACACCGGTCCAACACCAAAAATTGAGGGCTGTGCAAGAACACAGTGAACAGAAAACACAGGGAAATGGGGCACGGAAAGGGGGAGGCCAAGTGGAAGAGTAGACTGTTGTGAGGGAAGAAGTAGTATATAACCAGGTTCAGTGGGTGAGGATGATTCCACTGGCAGGAGGGTCACAGCAGTTTCCAAAGGAAAAAGAAAAACCTCGAGCAGACTCCCCTGCAGATGGAGAAGGTTTTAGGAACATAAAGGTGAGGGCACCTGCTTGAGGTCCCAAGCCCTGGGAACAATTTTATGCTAAATTACATGTCAGTGTCAGGCATCTAGTGATGCTCACCACGCAGAAGCCCACATCTAAGCCTCTGTCAGGGTCTCCATACTGTATCCTGAAAGGCCAGGTTTAGCAAAACTAAGTTTACAGAAAAGAGGGAAAATTGTTCGGCCTTTCTGTTGATGTTATGCACTTACACCAAAAACTAAAATTATAAGAATCTGCTTTCATTTCTGC